AGAGAAGAGGAACTGAGAATAAAAATAGGGTAGTTTGGGAGCCCTAGTATAGGGGAGTGGACTAGAGCTCTCTGGAAAAGAATGCTAAGTACCTCAACACCAAATTACAGATCCCAGGATTCTGTGGGATGACGTTAAGGTAGTATTGAATTAATATAGCTGTGTGGTTATACTGCAAACTACATGGCAAAATTGCCCCATGCTCTGTAGGGGGTTGGGGGGGGTAAAATAAATTTTCAGTTCTGGGAAGGTTGCAGGAGGAGAGTGCAACATTCCAAGGTCCTCTGAGGTGTGTCAATGCAGCCTCTAATCTTCCCAGACAATTAACCACCCCTGGTTTATAACCCCACTTGTTTTAGTAGCACTTGTTTTGCTGGCCAAGAAGCAGAGAACTCTCTGTGAATGAGAGATCCTTCATTCCTTGTCAGCTTAGTAGATTCTCTGCTTGTTGCCCTCAGGGTGCCATGGATGCTTACCTATAGAATTTGCAGGAGACCTCTTGCTTCACAAAGGTGTACCTGTCCTGGAGAGATTTGCCATGCGCATAGAGGGTCATGCGAGACCGAGATCCAGCAAAGGCCACCTGGGCCTGGGAGAGCCCTAGTGCTACTTGCCAGTCATTTTTTGACTCTGTGGGCAACCCCAGTTCGATTTCCCAGTCGTTGTTCACATCCCTGGCCACTGCGTGGGCCACATCCACATCTGAGTTCTCCACGGAGCTGCTCACTTGTCGATGGCAATTGCCATGTGCCCGCCAGTCCACACCAGCCAGGGGGAGTCTCTGTAGCTGGCCAGCCATCAGAGGGTTTTGGCACAGAGTGCATGTCCCATTGACTCCCTGCCACTGGCTAGTGTCCACCACGTATGCCCCCTTCCTGGCCAGAGTAGTGATGTCCACCCCTTCGCCAATGAAGTTGTGGCCAGGAACAAAGGGGGCTGGCTTCCTGCAGATGGATCGGGGGAACAGCTGGCAGTGACCAGAGGCTACTGGCTGGAGAAGGGACACAAAAAGTAGGACAGAATCTAGGAACAGGTGGTGTCCAGACATGACTGTTCGTCTGGGATCCCTAACGCCAGAGGGGCAGAGTTGGCTTCTAAATCACCCTGAGAAGAAGAAAAAAACAGAGGGCTTGGTTAGATACTGGGGTCCATGTACATCTGACCGTTGCACTTCACTCATTTTCCAAGGAGCCCAGAAACCAGTGGAGGCTAGTTGGTCCAGTCTCAGTGGGACAACAAATCCAGCCTTGGGTTTAACACTGAACTTTCAAAGAATTATCCAAGGTGCTGAACTGATCCAATAGGTTCTTGTACCTTGGAGAGATCCTTGGCTAAAGCCTGAAGTGGATTTCCTGTGCCCCAACTCCCTGTCTCTTGATTTCATTGCCCTGGGTGTTGCGTAGTGGTTTGAACACTGGACTATGACTCTGGAGACCAGGGTTCGATTCCCTGCTCCACTATGACAGCCCACTGGGTGACTGTGGGCAAATCACATGTCAGGGGAAGGCAATGGCAAACCTCCTCTGAACAACTCCTCCTAAGAAAACGTCTTGATAGGATCACCTTAGGAGTGCCTTAAGTCAGAAATTAATTGAAGACACACAACAACAAATCTGCATCAGCTGTTGCCACCATAATCAATGGTAAGGACTATTGGGTGTTGCATATCAGAAGATTAAGAAAGGGGAGGGTGGCTATGAAAGAACTAGAAAAGATTCTAAAATGCAAGTATATACAACTCTGCACAAAAGTTAGGATCATACAAGCCATTGTATTCCCTATTACCATGTATGGATGTGAGAGCTGGACAGTTAAGAAAGATGATAGGAGGAAAATCAATTCCTTTGAGATGTGGTGCTGGAGGAGTGTGTTGAGGATCCCATGGACAGCCAAAAAGGACAAACAAATGGGTCTTAGAGCAGATCAAGCAGGAAACCTCCCTGTAAGCCAAGATGACCAAACTGAGGCTGT